TATTTGTATTATTTTATTTGTATGTTCCCATTCTGGCAAAAAAAAATTTTATTAAATAAAGAAGGAGGTCCCGTGGCCTTCCCATGTTTTATTTTTACGTTATTTTTGCAATGCAATTTGCGATTATTAATTGGTGGAAATAATAGAGTTTTTTTATTAACTTATGCTTTTACAGTCACTATTTGGATTGAATTCTGATATTTATTCCCCCAACATATAAGACGATATGTTTTTGTATTGACATAATCGCCACTCCCCCATAAACCCTCTATATTATATGATGAACCATGCATATAATCAATTTTATTGCACATGATGCTAAATTATTGTAAAAATTTATAAGGTTAATCAAGATTAAAGGTTTTTCTATCAATAAACTCTCTAAATTTATATATCTTCTTAGGAATAGTAATTTCTGGATTCTCATCATACCATACTTCAAGAAGATAAATCCCGTTAAGTTGACACAAGGTTCTTTTCTTTCGATCACGGTCAACAATATCCTCGAGTTTTTTAACATCTTTATACCAACTAGCGCTGTGAAACCGATGCTGTGCTCCTTGTACCTCCAATGCAATTCGATTAATTCGGAAGAAGGCATCAAGTTCTAATCCTCCCATAAACGATGGACGATATTCAACTATGGGTTCCTCATTAAGAAGTATCTGGGTTATTAGAATGCATTTCTCCTGAAATTTACGATTTTTCTTAGACTCTAGTTCCTTTTTAAATTCATCTAAATCCTGTTTTAACTTTATATTCTCGATTTCAACTTCTTCTTTGTCATGCTTTAACTTCGTATTCTCAGTTTTGATTTTGATATTCTCATTTTTCAATTCATCTATTTTCTTTTCTAATTCAGGTACTAAATTGCAGAATATATCGCGATAACTCGCTCTATCAATAATAAGAAAGCAAAGATAGAATTGTAATTTCTTTACCAATTCATTGATCTCTTTATCTTCGAATGATCTGGGTTCAAGAAGTCGTTTGAAAATCATTTCTTTAGGGAATGTTCTTATCTCGTTCCAAAGATCTAAAGATCGCCCCGACACCAATTCCAATAAATCAATTGTGGGTTGCATATTTGTCATTGCTTTAATAAAACACGGTTGTATTCAAAAGTTCGTTTATTAGCATAAATAACAAAAGATACATGTTACTTAAACACTTGCCAGAGGCGGTGCCGAATTGTTCCACAATAGATTAGAATAAGTTCGGAATCAAACGAAATATATCTAATCAAGCTTACCATTATTTCATCATCGATATCATTAATCAAATGAACGAGTATATTCCGCAAAGTAATAATAAGGTAGGGTTTGGTTTATTATTCAACTAGTTTCTTTAAACATGTCATCAGGATGCTAATCGATTTTCCCTACTCTATAGATGTTCCAAATAAACGGACATATTACTCTTCATGCTATATATCGGCATTTTGATATTCGCCGAGAAAATCTTTGACTATCATCACGCGTATAGTGGGCGCAGTGAATTAAAGTCTGGTGCATTATCACGGAAATATTATCTAATCTAATCGACAACGATCAGAATCATGTGACTTTGAAAGATAAATTACGTATTATAATTGGGTTAGGAGATTTAACTTTTTTGCTAGATGATTTATGACGCGTAAAAATTTTCTTCGTACGTTATAAAAATGTACCTTTTACCTAATTGTATCGACGATTTGAAATACAGTGGTAAGAAATCTGTACTATTATCTCTTTATGACAATGCTTTACAGCGTAACATGTTGTTTGTAAAAATATAGACTTTTGGAAGAACACGGAGGAGCCTTCGCTTAATAAATTCTTGAGTTTCCGATTACACCAAAATAATTTGGAAGAAAGCGAAGTGGAGCATCGTCGGTATAAAGATGAACTGAAGAGTATTAGTAATTACTATGATGAAGAATCTGAAATTGGGAAGAAGGTGTTGATATGGAAACAAAAGTTCAAGGCAAGTATAAATTTATTTGTTGATTTGACACTATGCCATCGCCAACTACCATTGTTGGTTGCTTACTGGCAGGGGAAAGGTTGCTTACTTGTTGGTGTGTTAGTGTATAGTGTATTCGTACTGTGTTGTCATAAACTACCATGCTGGTTGCTTACTGGTAGTGGGAAAGGTTGCTAACTTGTTTGTAGTTAAATTTATGTTATTTCTTACATGCAAGTTAGGATAAAATTAATAAATCATTATTCTTTTCTTTCTCCTCTTAAAAATGAATATTTATAAGCGCGATAAAAACTCGGCAGAGGTAAAACTTTTCTGGGAATTACAAGTGAAAAAACAAGATATTCTTAAGGAGATCAGATTGCTTGAGGAGAGATGCAAGTTACTTGAAAAGGAGCAAGTATGTTGTCTTTATGATGTTTTCGAAGTTTAGGTGATCTCGTTTATGACAATACTTCCTAATGTCTGCAAATAGACCGAAATGGAGAACAAAATGTGTCTTGAACAGACCCAACATATTTTGCATGCGACGAGAGAGACCGTAGATCAAGGCCTTTCACTACAAAGATCAATTGTAGAAAAATTGAAGAAACGTGTGCTGGATGAGCCGTATGCATCTTGCGAACCACCAAAAAGGAGGTCCAAAGTCACTAATAGTGATATAATCGCAGAATCTCATTCTGAATCTAATGCAGAGACCGACATACCGAAGATAGTGATATAATCGCAGGATCTCATTCTGAATCTAATGCAAAGACCAACATAACTGAAGATAGTGAAATAATTGCGGGATCTCATTCTGAATCTAATGAAGAGACCGATACAGAAGTGATTAACATAACTGAAGATAATGCAGAAATCGAGAGTCTCACACAGGTATTTGGCATTCGCTATCTTTTACATACGATAATTTTCTTTACTCATACTTTGATCTCTAGAATGAGAGGGATATTCGCAAAAAATTACTTGAAGTTTTGGACACAATCCAAGACAAAGAAAGAAAATCTAAAGAGGACCATATGTCATCGGTATACCTAAATAATATATTGGATTTGTCCGATTTAGAAACACGCAGAAGAGTTGAAAATTCTTTAAATGAAGATCAACACGCATGGCTTAATACGATTCTTAAAAAACAAACTTCAGATCAAACTGAAGCATTTAAACAATATGTTGGACAGTTTAATGAACGTGTATGTAATAGGAAACAAATCCCAACTTTGGTTCGTAAATCTTTTATTTTAGATAGATTCGATTCCTATTATTATGAGGACTACGATATTGCTCACCAAATACTCGAACACTGGTAATTCATATGCATGTTAATATTCGTTTTAGCCAATTTTACATTTTTATTAACCTTTCTGTAAATAGTGCCACACGATTAGAAGCTCATATTAGCTATGAATCAAAAAGTTTTAATTTAGAACGAACATTCGCGATAGACACTGTAATCTATATCTTAAATCGTTTATTCAAGTTTCATCAAGATGTTTTAGACAGTGGGTGGTAAGTATCAATTATAAATTTTAAAGTGTTAGGGGTAGCTTATCAGTTAATTATTTTTTTTGCTTAGGATTGAATTGACTACTCCCCACACAAAAAAAAACATAAATTTGATGGATTATTTAAAGTAATAAGAACAAACCTGAAGAATCAAGTCATAATTGTCGTTGAATTTTCAAGTGGCAGAAAAGCGTCATTAACTAAAGAACATAATGACCATGTTAAATTATGTCGAAATGCGATGAGGACTTTAAATGCCGTATTACAAACCATACCTAGGGAGAAGGCGCGAATTTACTTGGTACAATTTGTTAGTAAGTATTTGATTAAAGGTTGAATATAAGAAAGCGCAAATTATTTACGTATCTAAAAATATTATTTTTAGACAGCTATCTCAAAATTGAATATATGATCCGTCCCTTACCATCAGTCTATCTTCTTAACTGTTTTATGTGCACCAAAGTGCCCGAGACCTTTGATGATTTCGAAAAATTTTCTAAAGATATGGCTGAACTAATTAATTGGCAGGTATGAACTTATAAATTATTTGGGCTTCCCTTTTATGGTAGCTAATTTTAATTAATATAGGCGGATGTCTTATTCACGACCAAGGAAATCAACAAAATTCCTTACAAAGCTGGAAACAATAATGTCTGCACAATTCCATTAGAAGATACACCGAAAAAGGATAAAAAAGTCATAAAGAAGGCCAACGATTCATATCCAGGATCACCATGTCCAGGATCACCGAGCTCGCCATTGATATAAAGATATTTCATTTAGCTTTTATCAGAGTATCCATTGCATGGTATGGAGGGAATATACAGTATAACTGTGAATTTTTATGTATTAACTTTGTATCTTTGCGAACTTGATGTTTGTAATGCGGAAACAAATTTTTTTATATAATACATAATGTGTATTCGTCTGTCTTGTCTAACACATCTATCACGGCTTATGCTGTAAAGTTTTTGTAAAATTTTATATATAAGAAAGGGGTCAAGCGCTACTATGAGGGGTACATAGCATTATTTATGGATGTCCTCTTACCTAGGTAATTAATTTAATGCTGTAATTTTTTTTTTAAGTTACGGCGCTTTAATTAATTTTGACATATGCCGTAATTATGCTCAATATTATATGTTATTCTGCGATATATCAATTTTTTAAATTCCGAAATATCATCATATTAACTATTATGGATTGAGTAAATTATTCAAACAATACTTACATCTGAAATCTTATCAAAGCCTTCATAAGCTTCTCGAAGAATAGTACAAGACTTGGCAGAGCGACACAAAGCCTTCTCATAAACTAACTTATATCTTTGGAATGTATCGCTCATACATCCATGTCCCACAATTTACGTTAATTGTGTATCCGAACCATGAAGCCAAACATGCTTTTCTAACTTCATTACAATTATTCTCCAAATACTCCATTGTTATATGAAGTTATTGGATAGATTGTTTAGCTCGAAAAAAAAAGAATTAGAAAATGTGTAAAGAAATCACTAAAAGCGACAAATAACAACAAATTCGAGATACTGCCCTTTTATATATTTTTCTTATCTCTTCCCTGAAACTCGAAATGTTAGATAGGTTAGACAGAAGTAAAAACATGCACTCTTACATCGAAAATTTCTACGATAAAAGTTGAGACATGCAAAGAAATTTCTGAAAAGCACGGCAAAGAATTTTTGTATAGATTATAAATATATGCATCATGAGTTAAAGAGTCATGTAAGGCTAAAATCGTTAAAAAATAAGACTCGATACTCCGTCGTACATGCATACATTGTGCGCATTTAGACCAGATAAGGTTTCGGTCCGGAGTAAATTCTCCACAAAATGAAGAATAAATATGGGATGTGAGATGTGGCATGAGTTAATTAACCAACTTTGGTTAGGGACAAATGCTGAAATGGCAGTTTCTAATTGTGCCCCGTCTCACAAATAAGTTATGCATAACGATAAGCCTTGTAAGGTGATACAGATAAATTTTATATGCAGAATTATTACGCTAACGAACGTGGACAAATAATGTATAACTATAATGATAAATTTAAACTACGTATCACCAAACACTAATTCAGATTTATTTATTCGAGATTCCCTTAGAAAATTATTACATTCACATCGCCTATATAATCCATCCGCTACTTTTTTGCATGTTTTACAATACAGATGTGAATGGTGATTGTATTCGTCACAGACCTTACATCCATGCTTCCAACCTCTAAAGATGTGCCACTTTTCGAAGCAATTTTGTTTATCTTTACGTATGAGTATGCTATTCTGACCTTTCATTGTTATATATT